AACTACTAGCATTTATCCAAGATCTGTCATTCTTCCATATATATATACAGTATATCACTCACAATCCATTAGCAACAATATTGAACCCAGTGTTAAGGAAGGGATTAAGTATTATACTTTGATAATGGGGTAAAAGAGCAATAAGAATAAAACAGTAATTTTTAAAAATTACAACACCTCAGATTTACAGTATATAGTAATTGCCTATTAGCCTTCAAGAAAAGCATTTCCTTTAAATGCAATAATCAATAAGATATAACTTCAGATCTTTAGTAAAAAACTAACAACCTCATCAGGGTCACATATAGTGAGGTCCAACCAATTCCCTGTTGCTACTCTAGCCTGACGGTACAATGATCTTGGAGTTTTTAGCCTTCATCCCTTTATTCCTATTCTCATATATCAGTATTTGGGTATACTTGGTATTTATGGTGCCTTTTTTAAGCAGCTTGGAACCTGTATGTTGGGAGCATCTCTCTCTCTCTCTTTTGTCCAAACAATGACCAATGAGAAAACAAAGTGTACGTAGGTGATATAGTCGCTCCTTGATGCAAGATGCAAGATAACATCTAATATTAAGCTTCTGAAATTATCACCCTAAAGGAATGGTTCTTATCCTTTTTCAAGTCCCAGATCACTTCAAAAATCTGATGAAGACTATGGACCCCAATTTTGCATGTAGTACAGGCCTGGCCATTAGAGGCAGGTGATTACCCATGTGCACCTCCAAGCCGTTTAAGGCGGGAGTTTGCCCAAGTGCGCCTCCACGCCGTCCTTAGTCACCCAAGGCGGGATATGTATCGCCCACTTCATTGATTATTTGCTAAAGAAACCACCCACCTTGCAATACAATATTACTTTTATTACTTGTTGAAAATCTTATTTTACCAAGACTTGTTTTTAAAAATTCTCTTATTTTAGTTCAAATGTATACATTTTCTTTAAACACATACTTCAACGCATTTACAAATCGCCTGATACCAACAAGAAGGGCAATCTAAAGCCCACCTGCTCAGTCTTATAGCCACGCCTGCAATGTGTAGACTATACTTTACCTGCTGACATTTGGGTACAGGTAAAGTTTCATCCATAGCTAAAATAAGCAGAATATTAGTAAACAGTCTAAAAAACTACTAGAGTAAATATTTTTGATCAAAGCCTCGCGGACTCATCCCTGGAGCCGCTGGGGGTCATGATCCCATGTTTAAGCACCCTTGCTTTAAATAAACTTGATATTTGGAAAAGAAACTTAGAGATTAACCCGAAATGGTTTTCATATCAGATTTTTTTTTTTACTCGTAACTGCATTAGTTGTATTCTTAAGTAATTACCGGTAAAAACAGATTTGTAAATAACGCAACAACGCACTAACCGATGCCATATTATATCAACAACAATTTACAAAAACACAGGCCTTGACATCACTTAATTTCGTGCTACAATGATTCTCAACTGAGCTTAGAACCATAATATTACCTTTTCTTGTACGAAAGCTGGAATTAAGGCCCAGGTATTGTTTAATTAACAAGTTCCAGCACCTTCGGGAGGGGAGGCACCTGCTGAGGACCTTTGAAGATCCGACACTATTTGAGATTCATCAATATTTTCAAAATTCAATGATATGTCATTCAAATACAGTGCAATTAGACGTGTTTTTTTTAATACATAACATATATGCATATTTAACATATATATCAGTTTATAAATGTATATGATATGTGAATTAGTTGATTTTCTTCACTAATATTAGCTGTGTATTCTTATGAGTTTATGTCGCGACATACATGGAATTTTCTGAATTAAAATTATTTGGATTCATGGAGGATTTAAATTACGTAATTCTGGCTCTATGGATCTTTATTTGCGTTGGTTATCATGCAAAATCAAGACAACCAACATCTAGAAAACTTGCGGCAAACTGGTGATAATGATGTACTTTCTCATACACATGGACTGAGCTGTTTATATTCAAGGTGTATGAAAAAAACAAGAGATTTATTATTATTTTTACATTTTTCTAAAACCAAGAGATTTATTATTTTTGCTTGAGAATTTCCCTAACCATATTAATAATAATATTTTAACCCTAATATTAATAGCTGTCGTTTCTTCATAGTACAGCAATCACGTAAGTATTAGTATAAACCATAATAATAGGATAATAATAATCCTGTCGAAGATTTCGTAGAAAAATACAGGAGTAGATGAAAAATATTTTTTTCTTATATGTCAAGTTAAAATTTGAAAATAAAAACGATGGAAAATTGGGGTATTTATTTTCCAGCAGACGTCACCCTCGCTCGTGATTGGCTGAGGTGTTGAGAGCTGCTTTTTGATTGGTTGAGTTGATGAGAAATACTTTCTGATTGGCTGAGATTCCGTGTGGTGAGTTGGAAGTAAACAGTCCGACTCTGGCGTCTGCTGGAAGTGGGAGGAACTGAGTACATAGTGTCTTTGGTCCTCGTTTTCTCGCCTCGTTTATTTCATCGGCGCTTTGCTG